ATTCCATTTCCTTTTTCATACGGCCCTTTTCCTTTCACAAGTAAGTAAATTCCATGCGTATGCAATGAATCTTGTCCAGTGAATCTTCATATACTTAACATTTAGTCTCATGTCTCAGTCAAGCATGTTAAACTCCAGATGACTCCATACTTTGCTCATAGTAGAAAAGGAGGTACCAAAATGTCACTGTCCAAGCTGTACCATTGCCTCACTTTTTAACAGAAAACCATCAATCTGTGTTTCTACCATTAAAGAGACTGTATTGAAAATGTTTATCAAGGTGCCACCTCTGCAGTTGGCACTGGATTAGTTAGAACTTCAAAGCCTTGAAAGTCTATCTCCAAGAGGTATAAGATGAACATGTAAATTACATCAGTCTGTGGCCAGGACCTAAAGCAGACCAGGAACATCTCTGAATGAAGTAAGCCAGTAATGCCTTTCCTTTCTGTGTTATCTTTAAATTTGTCAGAGGCATTTTAATTCAGAGTTCAGTTTTTACATAATGCAGACCAGTAGTAGCCCAGAGAAGTAAAGACATAGAGATGAGTAGCTAGCGACCTCCCGATTCCTGTTTCCTCCTGAAGAATATAACCTACCTTCCTGCCTACCTCAGAGCTTTCTAGGGAAGTGTTGTGAATGGCACCATGCGGACCTGCATTGTGTGTCCCAGGTCTTCAGTCAGGAGTTGGCCATAAACCTGTGAAAAAGCTAGTGTGTACCTTACCACTGAGTTTGAGAACCGTAACTGACCTGACAAACACAGGTGAACGAATGTTGAATTTTTTTATTATCAGTTGTTAAATGTCTGAGTGCAATGGAAAGTCATACCCTATAAAGGGATTGGAATAAGGTGAGTTTAAAACAGTGAAGCCTCCTTTTTTGAAAATAGTCTTAGAAATGGCTTGTCTCCTAGATAATTAAATCCCGTGTATATCATGTCAACTTTCCCTCCCTGGCATCAGCCACTTGTTACACAGACAGTGCCTTGGAAATGTACCTGTGCCTGTTGCTATAGCAACACCCTAAGAATGACCTCAACAGCCACTCAGAATCGTTCCTACAAAACAAATTATGGCTATAATTAACTCTCTGAATTTACCCTGCAATATAAATTTGGTCAGACCTTGGTGTTTCTTTTTAAAAGGTTAAATGAATAATCCAGTGACACCACCACCCCATCTCCCAGTTTTCCCTCGTAATATGAAATACTTCAATGGAAGGTACAATTCAGAGGTTTTTCTATATTATCTTTTCTCAGATGTGATAAACATTAACAAATGAGAGGATGTGCTAGTCTTATCGTGCCAGAACTCCATTTCTAAGGGAACAGAATGGCTTTTTTCCTCTCAGCAAGTGTGAAATACAGAAAGTACTAGGAGTTCATCCTCTTGAGTCCTGTGAGCCCAGGGCGGGAGAGCAGGTGGAATTGCAGATTCTCTGCACAGCAGTTCTTCTTTGGCAGTGAAATATGATAGTTTGTTGCCATCTCTGTGCTTTACCTGCTTCAAAAATTATATCTTCAATCCTTTGTAGCCACCCAGATCTTCCACTGGAAGAAAGTAGTTTGTATATCTTCTCCTTGGTTGTAGAGTCTGTTGTTTTGTTTTTCTTTGCCTTGTTTTGGGATGTGTCGTAGATGATGTATACTGCAAATAGCAGAATTGGGTGCAGTTTCTTTCAGAAAGCCTTTTTGTTAAACTAGATTAATTCATACTTTTTAGTCATTTTGTCAGTGAAGTCAGTTTTTCTCTTCACGCAATTGAGGCAAGGAAAAAAAGAATGTCAAGGAGGAACTGGCACTCACTTTCAAGTTAATCAAAAGTAAATTGAACATCCTTAAAGAACATTGCCTTGCAGTGAAGTACATTGGGACCATGACAGATGAAGCTGCGATGCTCAGTAAGTTCTGTAAGAGCTGTACTGCCATTGAAAAGGAGCACAGAAAAATAAAGAGAAAATATATTCTTGCAAGTATGAGTGTTTTAGGAATTTGGGTAATGTCTGAGTAAGACACTGAATTCATGGAGAGATACTATAGGCAGTTTTTTAAGAGTAGCCTCTTAAACCCCTTTATAAGTGTTTTTTTAGTTGCAGATGTGCACCTGGATTTCATCTTATCCAAGTATGTTTCTCAGAGAGCTCAGTGCATCCTTCTAGCTATTAGTACTCCTGCTGTGCAGTTTAACAGTTAATCTCCCAGCTCACATGCTTCTTTCTTTTTTTTTTCCCCCCAAGGATTGAACCCATGGCTTCACCTGAATTAAATTCCAGCCTCTTCCCCTACTCTGTGGTTTTAGAAATTGAATACAGGGCCTTTGTATGGAGCTACATATCCAGTCCACCCCACCCCACACCCGCATGCACAGGATCTTGCTTAGTGGCACAGGTTGTGCTCAAACTTGAGATACCCCCCGCCCCATTTCAGGGAGTGCCACCATGCCCAGCCGCATGTGCTGCTGCTTTAAATTCTTGCAGACACATAACTTTTTAAATGGAATGGCGATGAATAATCTGCTCAGTTCATCTTCAGGATGCAGAAAGCTACAATTTCCCTTTTCCTCACAGTACCTTGTATAAGAGTTAGCAATCCTCCATTCCAACTTTTGTGAATAGAAGTGGGCAGTATATTTTCTGAGCCTGCTTGCCAGTGTAATTTTAAAGATTTTTGCTCCACGTGACTTAAGTTCTTGTGTATAATAGTTAAATCAATGGTGACTTTATGGATTTCAGAATCTATGTTCAGGTTTTTCAAATGAAGGTACTGATACATCAGAAAACTATCCATACAGAGTAGCCAGTTGACATTGTATATATAATGTGATAAGCTTGGTTTACCCATAGAATGGGGTATAGATGAACTCCAAGAGCATGGGCTGACTATCATACAACTCCAAGACTGTGCCAAATAATTTACTAAAATCTGGGTGTAGTTCATGTTTGTGCAATCTCTCAGCTGAGCTCAGTTAGTAGAGTGCTGCTAGCTAGATAATCACTCATGCCTGGGATAAGGCTTCTGCAGTATGAATTATTCAGTTTGCACTAGAAATTTCTATGCTGATACATTTTTTTTCTTAAAAAGATTGATACAGGGTCTGGGATTTGGCTAATGGTGCCACGTCTGCCTTTCAAGCGCGTGGTCCTGAGTTCAATCCCCAGTACCCACCCCAAAAAGAGAGAGAGACTGATATGTACAAAAGAGGCAGTAACTATTTCTTTGTTAAAGTCAGACTTACCACTATTATTTTATGATTTCACAAATCTTACAGATTTCATATATTTCCCTTTAACACTCAAGTCTCAAATTTAAGGGTACATTAGTATGGAAACATCTCTAGTAAGAACAGAATTTAATGCTACAGTTGAAGCATACTATAGCAAATCTATCCACCCAATAAATGTTCATTAAGTACTTTTTGCTTGGCACTAGGGCAAAAATAAAAACGACTAAGACAAAACCTAGGAAGATCACATCATCAGTACAGTATCTGTGATATTGCTGGTTGTATTTGCTGTGCCCCAGTGTTCCCTATTAGAATTCACTCACTTGTTTATGGTCATAGGGAGCTGAATACTGAATCTGATTCCTTCCATTTCTAATAATGGTTCAACATTTTCTCCAAACCTTAGTGACAAGTTAGTCACTTTGTGTATACACAGTTCTGTGTTTCAAAACATGTCTCTGTTCCATTTTCTCCAGGGCAGAAGAGAGTATCTTGGAAAACATAAAGATAGCAATTGAAACATCATTTTCAACTGGTTGTCATCAATCCTATCAAATTATGTCATTCTTATTGCAAATTATGCTTTGCACATTGAGAGATTAAAAAGTAAATGGAAGATTTTGGAAATATTAAATTATAATGATGTGGAGCACAAGTGGTTGCCAGGCTGGGGTTAAGGGTTTTGGCAGATGCAACAAGGCAGTTTCTTTTAAGATTGAATAGTTCTCTTGATTGTGGTGGTGATTTAATGAATCTGTACATGTAATTCAATCTCAGAACTAAATATTACTCCAAACATATATGCATACATATATGTGATATATATCCGTGTGTACATATGGGTATTACATATGTGCAAATAGGTGAACTCAAAATAAAGTCTACAATGCAGCTAATATTATTAGTGTTCATTTCCTGGTTTTGTAAGGTATTATCATTAGGGGAAGCTGGGAGAAGGATACGAGGAAATACTTTGTAATATTTTTGCTACTTCTTGTGAGTGTAAATTATTTCAAATTAAAAGTTTTTGTTTTGTTCTGTTTTGGTACTGATACTGGGAATTGAACTCAGGTCCTTGCACTTGCAAGGCAGACGGAACCACTTAGCTAAATCCCTGACCCTAAAAAGTTTTTTCTTTTTTTTTTTTTTAAGAGGATAGAAAAGTATTATGACCAGAGATATTTCAAGTTAAGTTGTGAACCTCAATGTTGAGCATATCTGACTTTATATTATTACTATAATAACTAGAAATTTTGTGGCTTTAATCATGAATGATAGTCTTTGGATAGAATTTGGAACAGAGTATTCTGCTGTCTTCTCTAAGGGGAATAAGGAAATTCATTCCAGGAAAAGACTTCAGTGTTCTGCAAAAAAGAAACACCCTGACCTTATGTGTGACTTTGTAATCTGTTTGTTTATATAAATTAAGTTGGTATAAATAATTTAGAACTGTTTTTTTTAACTCCTGCTTTACCAACCAGATCTACTAAATGAGGAGAGTGTAGGAGACTACATAATTTGAATCTCTTAACCTTTACTTTTTGTAGAGGTTCTAATTGTGATAGACAAAAAATGAGAGATGTGGTAAATAAATAATCCATAGAGAGATAATCTGTTTCTGAGTAATGGAAGGTTGGCTCTGTCTTTGTTTCCTAAACTTATCTACCTGTTTCTTATATTTTTTTTCTTCGTTTCTCTTATAACTCATTTTGCTCTTCTATTTCCATGGATTTGGAGTGATGATGTCACTAACATTCTCATTGTATCTTCACTCTCTAGCTATCTGAATGACTTGGACCGCGTAGCTGACCCTTCCTACCTGCCTACACAACAAGATGTGCTTAGAGTTCGAGTCCCCACAACAGGGATCATTGAATACCCTTTTGACTTACAAAGTGTCATTTTCAGGTAGGAACTGAATCCAGAAGACCTACTTTTTCTGTTTTTATGCCTTGAGTGCATTTGATAAATTCTATAAATATTGAGATCATGTGCAGGGTTTAAAACAACATAGCCTTATGTGAGTTGTTATCATTGAAAACACAAATGAAATAATATATCCCAGAAAGAGGAAGCAGAAGAAGGATATTATAGGGAGTTTCTCATCAGTTTAACTTACCAAGCAATTAATGAAATCTTAGTTTATTGGTGGGTGGTTATGCAAAATCAAGCATCAGTCCTAATTATATTTCTTCAATCATTTAACTATGGGAACAGTGAGTATATTTTATAATTTCATAAGATATGGTCTTACTACCCTATCATAGTAGAAATTATAAGTTTTCAGAAGCTTTTATGTTAGTATTTCCTCCACGTAACCTGGCATCGATGCAGAATTTTTCAGTAGCAATAAAACTTAAGTTTCTTGAGTTTTTTTCAAAATTCGTGATTTTTTGGAAATTGGTTAAGTATCCTTTTCTAAATTTATGTAGCAAAATAACATAATAATCTTTTTCACTGCTACTGTTCTGTCTGAATAATATTTCGACAGAAGTGTTGTTTTTCTTACGATGAGAAAATGTAAAAATGTTACTGTACATTTATTTAATTATCTTATTACACTATCACTCAGTTGTACTCTTAGAAAACAGGACACATGGTGCTTTAAGGAACGAAGCCAGGTGAGTCTGTCTTTGAGTTGAGTGTAGACATTTGAGCTCTCTAGGAGAAGCCTACTCGCTGAATATAGATGTGTATAATACCAGATTATGAAGTAACAATTACTTAGAAACTTCTCTTTAACTCTTTGTGACTGTTTAATTGGCACTCCATTGTTTTCTTGCCAAGGAAAGATGAGTTTTGTTTGTTTTTGTTTTTGTTTTTGTTTTGTATCTGGGATCGAACTTGGGACCTTGCACTTGCGAAGCAGGTGGTAGAACCACTGAGCTAAATTCTCGGCCTGCAAGATGATTTTTTTAATCATTCTCTGAACTTGTGAGCAATCTGGCTGTTATTCACTAGTCTAAAAGATATGACCATAAAATAGGAGGAATTTTGAAAATGTTCATGAGTCTTAGTTCATTCATCTGTAAAATGGTTGTAGCTCTGGCATGCTGTACTTAAATTCTGAGTTGATAACACTTCGAGATCTTAAATTTGAGACACCCAAACTTTTTTCCTTTTATAACCATATTACATAATATTTTCAGAATTCTCAGAGCATTTCATGGTGACTTTCATGTTCCTATGCTTCACAATTAGTTCGGAAACTAGATTAGTATTACATCTTTTTCCACATTTTGTGCACCAGCTTTTGAGGACATTTTTTGTCATTACAGTGAAAGTACTAGTGACTAGAAACATGATTTCCCACTGTCATCAGAAGTGTCCTGTGGGATTCATTGTGACAGGTTTTCATAGAACAGGGAGTTTCTGTAAATGGCAGTATTTTGTGCACATGAGAGCATTAGTGAAGAGCCAACATTTTAGTATTTCTCAAGACTTAAGAGTTCCAGTTTTGATGTCACCAATTCTCTTTGGAACAATCATTTTGCCCCTCAGATTTCTCTTTTGTGCTTTTGAAACCTTTTAGGTGCAGTTTTTAATAAAAGCTGCTTAGGTTTTAGTTTAGGCTTAATTCTGTTAGATAGGAAAACATCAAGAACAGCTGTCATTTTCAACAGAGGCCCACTCTAAACTATTATAGTTAAACCTCTCATTCTGAGTGTGCTTTCCTGGGAGCATACATATTTCACTGAAGCAGTGGATTCAAGAATTTAAAGAAACTTTGATTCTAGACACTGTTAGATAAATTCATGTATGTATCTGTATATATTCACTCACTTTTTTGATGTCATTAATGTCTGAGTGAATTACACAATGAATTGATGTGTTAACAAATGACAGCCTCTGTGTGGCATCTTTGAGCAGGTTTTTTTTGCGGGGGGTTTGTTTTGTTTGTATTTTTGAGATGGAGCCTAGCATATAGTTGAGGCTGGCCTTGAACTCAGTGATCCTCCTGCCTCAGCCTTCCAAGTGCTAGGATTAAAGGCGCATCACCACTCTCAGCTCTCTTGTCGCATCATGATGTCTGATACCAGCTTCATTTCTAGCACATTAACAAGTTGGTTTGTGCACAGAACTCATTATACCAACTTAGTTGATATGGCCAGGCCTGTCTTAAATTACCCATCCTGGGAGGAGAAAAGCTAAAAATATTTACTGTACTGATGAAGGATACGTGGGGTCCGCTTTGCCTTTAGTTGAAACATCACACGCTGCTGAGATGTATCGCATCTTACATCTTCCTTTTTTGTGGTACCCGGCCCTATCTTACATCTTTTCAATGTGATCATCTCTTTTATCTTCAAGAAATGCATGAGAAGGACAGGGAGTTAGCTCATGACACTTTGCCTGCCTCGCAAGCACAAGGTCCTAAGTTTGACCCTCAGATACCCTTCCCCCAATACCTGACAGTCTTTATTCTGATTTTATAGTAAAAATTTAGGATGTGTCATTATGGTTTAACAAAAAAGAGTCATTTCTGTTCTTGACTCTTCGGTGCTTAATTAAATGAAATACTATCTTGCTTGACATAGGTAAGACTTTTGCTTCCAAAATTATAATTTTATAATTTATTCCCAAGAATGTACTGATTTTCTGTAGGTAACAGAAAATTGATAGTCAAATACTGTATTAATTAACTTGGAGAATCATTGACTTTCAAAAGAATTTTTTTCTAAGTGTGTAAGTAGTTCTGTATTTATATTGATGTTTTAAAGTTCTTCTTTACATATCATTAATATGAGTATTGTTAACCTTGCAGAATGGTCGATGTAGGGGGCCAAAGATCAGAGAGAAGAAAATGGATACACTGCTTTGAAAATGTCACCTCAATCATGTTTCTAGTAGCACTTAGTGAATATGATCAAGTTCTCGTGGAGTCAGACAATGAGGTAAGTGCTGTTCAGACAGGCAGTGAATTATTTTATTATCAGCTAGAAATAAATGACAGGAAGTAGGGTGTGAGGAGTGAGGTGTGTGTTTGTATTAAGCAGGGACTTCGTTGCTTTTTGACAGTTGATTTTAGGACTTTCTAAATAATCGAAGATAATCCTATAGAACCACATGGGACACTTAAAGTGATAAGCTTTTCCGTCAGATGTTTGAGCAGCTCTCTGTGCTCAGATCTTATTAGATCCTGTTTGATACTTTTGACACTGTGCAGAAAATTCCTGAAAATGAAAATAATGTAGAAGTCCCATGGCTAATCACTAGATCATTTCATAGTTTCTTCCTAAAGGAGAGAATCAGGAGTGAGTCACACTTTTGTTTTGTTTTAATTTTGTCTAAACCATTGGGGTGGGTCCCAAAGAGTATAGAGAACCTCTTTTGGCAAATGTGAGTAACTGTGCATCAGTTCATTAGGGAGCCACAGAAGGTATGGGTTACATGGCCTTTCTACTCTTAGAGAAGTCTGTAGTCTGCCAAGCACAGAGCAATTGAAGAAGTATTCTCACTGTACCTGTCTGGAGAACTCATTTGGTAGTGTGATCTTCCCATTGCTGAGAGCCGTCAGTATCTGTAAATGTGGATTTTGTGGATGGTAAAGGTTCATTGATGAGTCAGAGTTGATTGTGGAAGATAATTAAGGGGTGTAGAAAACTGTGTTTTTGAGCTAGAATTGCATGCACTTATCAGAATGAAGATGGTAAAATTGCTGATCCTGTTGGCGGCAAAGCTTGCAGACTGATATGTCATAAGTATTAAATATGCTTTTTATGGCGTGGAAGATAAAAAGAAGTTAGTATCTTCAGTAGCTGGTTAAATAAGATCTGGCATATTAAAATATACCCGAAGCACTGTACATTTTTGAATTCAAATAAATTTACGAAATTTTAGTCTTTAAAAAATATTTTTGTTTATTTTTCTGTGGGTCTTAATAGCTACATTAAAATTCATATCCAATCCCCTATAGTATTTCTTTTATCCATAGGAATAACCAAGTTCCTGTGAACCAGTATTGCTTATAGAGTTGATGATTACCTATTTGTGAGTTTCTGTATCCTTCCTGATTTGCCAGTATTTGAGTCAGCCAGACAGCTTCTTTTTAAGAATGAGGCTTGTTTTTCAGCTACTTTCTCCTGTAGCTGTAAAGCAAAATGCCTTTAAAACATGCTAAAATATAAGGCAGGCAGTTACCAAAATAAGTTAGCAGTTGCTATCAGAATTTTAGCTGTGATATCCCTATTTTTTTCTTTATATCTGTGTCTATATCTTGTTCCATAATCCTTGGATGTTGCCTTTTGAATATATTACATATTTTGGATGCAGGTGTACTGTAGAATTTCTGAAAATACTTTGACAACTTGCCTACTGTATTATGGGCACCATAGTGTTTAAAAACTTTTGAAAATGGTGAGATTAACTTTGCCCTAAACGCCCTTATAATGGCCTTTGTCTTAATAAATCATATGAGGGAAAGAAATCCTCTGTGGTGTAGATCATCTTTTTTCTTTGCACACACATATGCATGCATGTGTGTGTTACTCGGGATTAAACCCAGGGCCTTGCACATGCTTAGGTGATGAGTTATCCCAGGAATTTACTTTTTCTATTTTGCTAATTTTAAGGTGATAAATTGATTGTAATTCGATCATACCGTGTATTTCTTTATAAATTAAACATATTTATCTCATATAAAACATATATTGATAAACGTATCTTCCTCTAGCTGTAATGTAAACATGGGAAATACAGTTACATATGCTTTTTATTATCTTCTGTGTACTGTAGTTGATTCATATAAATTTTATTTTATAGAGTAGAAAACTAAAGATGAGAAATCAAGCCAGGCACAGTGGTACACATCTGTAATCTCAGATACCTGGGAAGCTGAGGCAGGAGGATCATGAGTTTGAGGCCAGAATGGCCTTAACTTATTGGGAAGACTCACTCAAAAAAATATTTTTTAAAAAGAGATGGGTGTGTAGTTGGCAGTAGAACATTTACCTAGAGCATGGAAATCAAATGACAATTGTCCTTCAAGAAGAAATTGAAACACGTCCTCTCTGCTCTAAGTTCTTACTATATTCATAGACAATAGTAGACAAACCAGAGAGCCTTTTCCAGTAATTCAGAGTCCTTTATTGCTCATTTGATTTTGAACTCCCTTAAAACGCAGTTCAAAGTAGACACTAAGTGTGAAACATGTACTTTGTTCTGCTTTAAAAACTCAGAGTGAGCTTTGGGAATTTTCTTCACATAACTTTCAGCTTTGGAGGTAAGGGGACTGAATAAAAATTGAGAAGAAATTCAAACTCCAAAAAGAAATATCTAAAGGAAACTTACAAGTAGTTAAAAGGAAGAACATAGGTTAAGATGGTCTCTGATCACTAATTAGATTGAGTTTAACTCTCTTATCAACTCAAAATCAAATCAAATTATGCCTCTGGTACACTTGGCGTCATAACCTGATTAACAAGAATAGTCCTGAAAGATGCTGTGCTTTTTTATATTTAACCTCTTTCCTCTTTCTTCCTTCCGTTGTTCATTTTCAGCCACTTGTCCTTTTTTTTTACGTTGCTCCCTTTCTTGCCTCTTTCATTCTGTTTTTCTGTTTCCTCATTATACATTCTTCCTTCATCTCTGTATTCCTTGCTTTTCTTGAGCTATACATTTTTTGTTTATTTGCTTGTTTATGTCATACCAGGGGTTGAAACCAGGGCCTGCTATTTGCTAGGCAAACACTCTACCACTAAGCTAACATCCATCCTTAGAAGGAAGTTTTCTTTTTTCTTTTTTTAATCTTATTGAGTTTATTGGTACTTTTAAAGTATACAGTACAGTTACATTCATCACTGGGATTTTGTACCTTTACATGACGGGTCTTGGTTCTCATTTTTCCCCTTGCCCCTGCCATCCCTTCACCCCTCAACCCTCCCCTATTTACAAAGTCTTTGTTTCCATTTTTTCATCTTCTCATATTTTTTCTTTTCCCTTATTACCTTTTCCCTACCCATCTCACTTCCCCTACACCTTTAGCCCTTTTCTTCCTATTTCACATTGTCAGTTATACAATTTGGATCTTATTTACACTTTTAGTTTTTCACACTAGAGAAACTATTCAGTATTCACATGTGTGTCTTATTTATTTCACTTGAGTAAGGCCTGGATATGCATCCATTTTCCTATGAATGACTCTAGTTTTTCATTCTTTATGGCTGAGTAGTACTCCATTTTATAGAAAAACCACATCTTCTTTATCCAGTCTTCAACTGATGGGCATATTTTGGGTTGTTTCCAGGTTTAGCTATTACAGACTGTGCCGCTATAAACCTAGGTACACCTATATCACTGTGATATGATTCTTTTAATTCTTTTGGAAAGATACCCAGCAGAAGGATAGCTGGGTCAAATAGAACCTCTAATCCTAGTTCTTTGAGGTATCTCCATATTGATTTCCACAGAAGGAAGTTTTCTGATCATGATTTATGGGTATTGAACTAGACCTGGACTTACTGCTGCTAAGGTTATGGAATAGTCATCTGTCTTTTTCCACTGATTTTTTAAATCTTTTTAACTGTAAATATATACACACATAAAAGAACACAAATATAAATGTACAGCACAGAGATTTATTGCAAAGAAAACATCTGTTTCCAATACTCTTGTCAAGAAATGGAACTTTGCCAGGGCCAGTTGATGCCTGCTAGTAGCCCTCCCCAGCTCAGGTAACCATACTGATTACTAAGAACATCATTCTGCCCTTTCTTTTGTAGTTTTAGTGTTTAAATATGCATCCCTAAACACCGTAGTTTATTTTTACCTTGTACTTAACTTTATGCAAGAGAATTAGGTAAGGTGTGTTTTGAACTTTATATAAACAATATGTTATTTTGAAATTTTATATGAAAAATAGTGAAAACTATATTTTCTACCTGGCTTTTTTTCATTATTATGTTTGTAAGGTCTGTGCAGTCTGTAGAGTTATCTCAATTACATTGCCAGATATGAAGTGTGATAAAAACTCAGAGATTTTAAAATAAAATTCATTACAGTAAGAGAGAGTGCCATTAACCCCCTCAATTTCCCCTCCAAATACTTGCTTCACATATGCTTATCCCATCATTTTTGCCATTTTCTGAAAGTCCGCTGTCATGAGTGTCCGGGTGTCCTTGATGTCCTAAATTGCTTCAGGTATTTACATTTCATAGTCATTTTGACTTTGGGGAAGAGCCAAAAGTTCCATGGTACCAGATCCTGTGAGTAAGATAAATGAGTTCACACAATAATGTTTTTTGTTTGTTTTTGCTTTTTGTTTTGATTTTTTGAGACAGGATGTCACTGTGTAGCCAGGCTGGTCTTGAACTCATGGTGATCCTCTTGTCTCAGCCTCCTGAGTGCTCGCTCATATTACAGGCATGCGCCACAACTCTCAGCACAATAATGTTTTTATGAGCCTGCTTTTCCATTGGATGGCACTTGGGTATAGCTGTCACCATATTTTTGATCATACCTCAAAAACACACAAAAGAAGACTTCCAAAACTGCTTCAGAAAGTGACAATGACAATGTGATAAATATGTTCAAAGTGGGGGGGGGTGCAGAGAATTAATGGCTATGTGTTTATTTGTCATTTACTATAACAAATTTTTATTTTTTAAATAAAATTTTAAAATTGCAACACTATTTAGATTATGTCTTGTAGTCTGTTACAAAAAAATAGCATAGTTTGTTCACCCATTCTACTGTTAATGAACTTTTGAAGTATTTTCCTTTGGAGGTGATTATAAATAGTGTTTGAATCCTGAGGTGTACATGGGTCTATATATTTGGAGGATACATTCATACCTAAGAGTAGAAAGCAAGCACATAGAGTATATACATCATCGATGAGGCCAACATATTTTCCAAAATGTATGTGCCCATATATTCCCACAAGGGATATCTAAAA